AGCTTGTGGCAAATGCTTTTACCAACTTGTAAAATATATTTCATTGACTGTTGAATGACAATGTTTGCAGTCTTTTGTTCAAATTACAATTTAATTCATGTAACATTGCAAATCAACTTTCATCTAAAATAGAACAAATTGCACGAACAATCGTTTTTAATGTGTCCAACAAATGCATGAATCAATTTAAATGTTATGTGAATAAATTGAGCAATGATTATTTGAAACCACGAAAAGTAAAACGGCATTCCATAGTACCTGCTGATTCAGTAGGCAGTGAAAGGCACAGAACGTATCTTTGTCTGTAACTTCTTTGTTCGCAGATATATTAGAAATCTACTTATACGTGGGCTGTTCAAAAAATAAAGTGAATGTTCCAATTTCGAGGGCTACGCACATGCGACACAATGGTTCAGGCATTCGCGGCCGACGTTTTCAGTGCCACTATTTTCCGGGTTTGAAGGCCGTGGATTTTTGGACGTTTCGCAGGCGCCAGTAGCTTTTATATATCTTAATCGAATGCGCTAGAAAATTTCACCGAGATTCTGTCGAAATCGGTAGCATTATTCTCGCTGCTTCTAGAGCGGCAGGAAACATTATGCATTCGCGCTCTCTTAGCTACGTCACGTTTGGTTTATGGTTACCAGTGGCGGCCGGCGTTATTTTCTTTCGGGCATGATTTACAACAGGATCATGGGTATATTTTTGTGACATTAAAACCAAAGTCCAATCGTCCCAATGGAAGAGACCAGGAGAGCCATGAACAAAAAAGCACGCCAAAGTCGATTAAATGGCGACGTTTTTCTCACTGTTTTTTTCAATTACCGTGGCGTAGTGCATTAAGACTTCTTGCCACATGGTCGTACGGTCCATTAGGAGAGTATTATTTTGCGCCGCTTGCGAGAAGCAATACGAAGAAAATGTCCATTATTGTGGAAAAACTATTNATTCATAATCCAAGGGTATATCACATTTGGTATTTTTATAGCGTTTCATTTGAAATAACTACCATCATCAGTGACAACAATTTTAAATTACGGTCCTGTCGTTACTTATTTTGTAAATTGTTTCGATTTCTTCAAAATATAATTCAGACAACCCAATAAATTAGACTGGTAGGTACTTTTTCGTTTTGGAAATTTTTGTATTGCCATAATCCTTCTTTAAATGTTTATTTCTCCTAAATCAATTCTAATTTGTAATATTTTCAAAATTCTCAATCCTGGAAGTAACAAAAATATCAGTTTTTGGTCAAAATTCGTTTGTTGCATAATTTGGTATGATCAAATAGCATCTCAATTCCTTTACCATCTTAAACGCGTAGGCTTTGCTTGGTTTCTATGACAGGAAAAATGAATGCGTTGTTGATATCTGTTGAGAACAGTCAGACGTTTATGAACATATCAAAGATATTTTCAAATGATGAAAAGACTGATATGCTATTTAGTTACGCAAAATCAAATAGAAATCCTCTTTTGGTAAGAAATATGTATGTTGAGCTATACCCGAATCGTCGCATTCCGAATATCTAAATGTTTACCCGATTAGAAAGAAATTTGAGGGACTATGGTGCATTTGACAGAAAGAAAACAAGAAAATGTGTGGTTACTGGAAATGTGAGGAATCAAATAAATGTTATGGGTGAGCAAATACTACCACATAGAAATTTACACAGTGAAAACATTTTTTTTTATTTAGGATTGGCGATTTACAAAAATTATGCCAATCAAGATTGTTCTTTACGAAAATTGCCCACGAAATGAGGATTTCTGTAAAATCCACCAAGACTATTATGAATATAAATATAAATGCTACACAAAGTTCATCACCTCAATGAAAGGGATTACGGAAGAAGAGTACGATTTGCGAAGTAGAAATAGGGAAGCTGAAAATATTTGTAAAAAAATAATATGGACGGACGAATCAAAATTCACCAACAATGATTGTTTTAACAGAAATATTCATTATAGGTGGAATAATACAAATGAACATTTACATAGGGAAACCAGTTTCCAAGAAAGTTTCGGAATAAATGTTTGGTTGGGAATTGTGGGAACAAACATCCTTGGCCTTTTCTTTTACTATGATCATTTGAATAGTGAAATGTATCTTCTCATTTTCTATTCAATGAAATCGATGACTACTTAGATGAATTGCCACTGAATATCCGCCATGAAATACAATATTTTCAACAGGACGGCGCTCCTCCCCATAATGCAACAATAATAAAGGAACATTTAGATGCAATATTCTCAAAAAAATGGATTGGAAACAAGGGACCAATTAACTGGCCAACTCGATCCCCAGATCTTACTCCTGGGGATATATGAAAAATAAAATTTTTAAACACTAAGTACAGATATTGACCATCTCAAACAAAAAAAGATGCATTTCTTAGTATTACACCTATTATGCTAGAAAATTGCCACAGAAATTGTTTGGACCGACAACTTATGTGCATTCACATTTAATGTAGATTGCCATGTAGCTTTGATTTTCCGTATTGGTTTCATTTTCCCCAAAAGTTCATAATAAAATAAATTGTTTTTCTGTTTTATTGTTGTCACTGATGATGGTTATTTCAAATAAAACGCTATAAAATTATCAAATGTGATATACCCTTGGATTGTAAATTTATCGCTTTATCAATACCTGTAATAAAAAAGACAGGTCCGTATTTAAATAAAATATGTTGATGGTGGCCATGTTGACACGAAACGTTTTATCAAATATTTATCATTACACCGTCATAGTACACTTCGAATACAATAACATTTTTTTTTTATCGACTTTTTTTGGGTATTTGTTACCTTCCACAATCTGAAAAATATAAAATTTTCCTTTTCCATTGTTTGATATTCTCCGAAATAACAATTTCATTCGAAAAAAACGAAAAACAGTATTTTTGGTTTTCCCCGTATAACTCGAGAAGGACGAGAGTCCCCGTAAATTTTTTTCGACCATTGTATTGTTCCCGATGACAGATACCGTTTTTCCCATTCAATCGTATTCGTATCTGGTACGGTTTAGAATATAGCAATGTTACCCTATGATAAAAAAAAACGGCTTGTATACTGATCGATAGATCGATATATATTCTATGTCGTGGTATATACTGATCGATAGATAATTTTGTACTCTATACATCGATGCTGTTCATTTTTTCCAAATTTTAATTTTCTGCCTCTTTTCAGCTTATTACTAAATGATGTCGTTAACGATATTCGGTCAATTTTTCTCTACGAATTCAAATTGAACAAAGCGCTGCCGAAACAGCCCGAAAAAATAATGATAGTGTGAATGAACCCATCGTTTGACGTTGATTTGCGAAATTTCGTTCCAGAAGAACGGAGATGAGCCCCGAAGTGGTCGATCCACAGTAATCCAGGACGAGGATTTGAGGATCCAGGTGGAGAATGACCCTTCACAAACGATGCGTGGGATGAGGAAGAACTGGGCGTTAGCTCCCATGTGATTTTTAATTAAAACTTATTGGAAAGGTCAAAAAGCTCGAAAAGTAGAAGCCGCACGATATGAATGATCGACAGAAATTGTCACGTTGAGAGGTCTGTTCTTCTTTGCTTTTGCGCAACCAAAACGATTCTTTTTTGGATCGGATCGTCACGTGTGATGGAAAGTGGATCCTCTACAACAGGAGACATTCAGGACCGTGGTTGGAAACCGATGAGCCACCCAGACACTTCCCAAAGGCGAGCACTCATTTTTTATGCTGACGGAATGGGGAATGTTCCTCAATTTGGCGCCTGATTCAAATGGCGCCTATTTCGAATAAATTGAATAAATATTCACAGAGATATTACAGAGATATGAGTAGACTCATAAAAACGGACAGACTTTTGAAACAACCTAATACAAACCCTATGCTTCGAGAGAAAAATTCTATTCAGATAACAAACCTATACAGTGCGAACGCCAAAAGTCCCCCCCACCTTTTGACTTCTGAACGGGACAAAAATCAAGGTCTTACGAAATTTAGGAAAAAGGGCATAATTTTTAAATCTTTTTGATAAGAAAGACAATACTGTTGTCTTACTCGCCAAGAGGGCGCTACCAACCTTTTATCGCATGTATTTATTTCACAGACCACACACCACAACAAAAATACTGTCTCTCGAGAGGCATAATTTTTGTTCTGTATTTTTTGTTACTGTCTTTTAGAAAAGATACTTTTTGTTCTGTATTTTCATTAGATTTGGAAATCCATGCTTTTTTGATTCCCGGCGTCTTCCAATGCATCAATTGCCGCTTTGTTTAACAACATTTTGAAAAATCCACGTTTCGTCGCAAGTAATAATGTTTTTCATTAGTCCGGGATCTTCTTCTATCCTTTCAAGGAAATCTGAGCAGATCTGTTGATGCGAGAGCTTTTGGTCAGGAGTCAGGTTTTTTGGCGCCATCTTCGCACATACTTTTGTCATGTGTAATTCCCCGTGTAAAATTTTTCTAACCGTTTCTTTATCGGCGTTTACAGTCTCGGCAATCATCCGGATGCTCATTCGACGATCTGCACGTACGATTTGGTTGATTTTGATCACTGTTTCCGGAGTTGAAACAGATTTATCAGCTGGACCTCCTATTCAGAAATGATGTGGGAAACTTCTCAAAGTACTCTCTTCCTTCCAAAGGAAGAGAACAAATTCCAAAGGAAAGAAGAGAGCAATTGAGTTAACTATGATCGTAACTACATTTTTCCTTGAAAGTTCCCACAACTTTGTATAAAGGAGTTTCGTAGTGGCCGTGGTAGTGGACGGACGTGCCGATAACATCTGTCCAAAAAGAAGGTATGCAGATGCCACGTGCTATCGCGGAATTTCTATTTATGTTGTGATTGTCTACTGTGCAAAGATGTTAAAGTTTATGTGGAAGTTTAGACAACAATGTGAAGTGAAGGCCCCCTTTATTCACGCCGGCATCCAGGCCGGGTGGTTCAGATAAATACGTAAAGGGGGCCATGTATGTGAATTTAAAAACCAACTTACTATTTGGCGGAATCGTTGAGCTGGTACTCGTTGGAACGACCGAAACATTCTTGAACCCCGGAATCGACCCATAACCTCTTCATCGCCGCTAATAATTCCTCTGAGAACGGTTCTGTGTCTTCCATCCTCTGAATCACATCGAATACCATTTTGCCGTCGATCTGAAAGAAAAAGATAAGAATGGTAGTAATTCGATTCACTACTTGGGCTGAAAAGTCTCGGGTCTAACATATATATGGCGCCAGTTTTATCGCATTGATGGGAAAAAATACCGTTCAAGCGAAGCAATGGCTAGAAAAGTGTCATAAGGACTCCGCTACATCAGAAACAATAATTAATGCAGACTTCAAAGGTGGTCGTAGAGATACCGATGATGTAGAACGCAGTGGACGTCCAAATGAGGCAGTAACACCAGAAAACATTAAAAAAAATCCACAACATCGTTTTGAATGATTGAAAAGTGAAGTTGCGTGAGTTATCTGACATTGTAAAGATATCAAAAGAACGAGTTGGCTTTATATTGCATGAGCATTTGACTATGAGAAAGCTCTGTTCAAAATGGGTGCCGCGCGAGCTCACTGTTGACCAAAAACAAGAACGTCTTGATGATTCTGAGCAGTGTTTGGCCATGTTCAAACATAACAAACCGGAATTTTTGCGTCGATATGTGACAATGAATGAAACATGGATCCATCACTTCACTGTGGAATCAAAACGATTGTCATCTGAGTGGAGAACAACTGATGAACCCGAAAGCACAACAATCGGTTGGAAAAGTTATGGCCTCAATATTTTGGGACGTGCGTGGTATAATATTCATCAACTATTTTGAGAAAAGGAATAACATCAACAGTGGATATTATACAGTGTGTCATCAAAGTATGGAATAAATTCGATATTTCCAAAACCAAAGGCCGTTTTACAAAAACTTGAAACACGTCGATTTTTATTTTTAATATTCTACATTTTACAATGAAATTTCATTACACAGGGTGATTCATATTAATGTGATGACGTCATCGGTAATTTTTTAAAT